CGCGCACCGTGTATATACGCGCCGACCGTGATTGCGCGAGGAGAATGTAATTAGTGACGGGACGTTGCCGTGTTGATCCTTCGTAGTGGTCGTTGCTCGATAGCGCCGGCTTGTGCCCGTCGCTCAGAATAGTATCCCAGACTGTTTCCAAACGCCGTCGACGGACCGTGCCTGTGCCGTAGCCGTCCCGCTTAAGGAAAAGGAATCGTCTCTGGAACGTTCACGCGTGATTGAGCCGAATGGTTAAGTGGGGAGGTACGAATACAATCCGATCGAGAGAATGTTACATTCGAATTGAAGTCAAAGAAACTTGAGACGTATAAAAATATTTTCTATGCTTAGATTTTATTACATTGTAAATTAGAATTTAGAATTAAGCTACAATTTCTTTGCGTTGCTAACGCAAAGAAAAAAATTTAAGATTAATGTTATAAAAGTTATACCGCGCGATTTTTTTTATAAATTGTTATATTTTAAATGCATACATAAAAAATACATTTGTGTTTTAAATATAGGAATACGGATGAACAAAAGAACCGAGTAGTCAAAGAATATCGAGAATTTTATAATTAAATTAAAATGAATAAAAATTTAAAAGAAATACTTATATTACAAAACAAATTTGTTTTTTCCAAATAAGTCAACAAGATTGATGCCGCGTTTTTATGAGTCTATCGAGAGTCTATTAAGAGATTAAAGTTTTCGATGATATATCGCAATATTAGCACTAGTTTCGAAGCTGATGCTATTTTGTAATGACTTTCTAATAGTTCCATTTGTGCTCCTTCGTCTGGTAAGGGCGCGGTCCTAAGCAAGGTATTAGGATGCTTTAAGCGTCGCAGGTAACGCGTCTTTGTCAAGGGATGGCTTTGTACTTCTCGACATTGTACTGTGCGTGGAAGACGCAAGGTGTCGAAGAAATATCGCAAGATATAGACAAATCTTGACGCATTATTTTTTATCGCTTATGTACTTACGCGCGTTATTCGAATGACTTTTTATGCGGTATTCATCCGGTCATTTTTTGCGCGCGACCTGCAATCTCTCGCGGGACATTTACGATCAAGGGGGGAGTACTTCAACGCTCACTCGAGAATGTTTCGGCTTTCAAGCTCGCTGATCAAGATAGATGATCCACTTTCGCATGCTCGCGATCCACAACGAGAGCGGCGGCGACTCGTCGATCGATCGATCGTTATCGATCTGCCGCGCGGCGTCTCTCATTGAATTAATGCCGAATTTTTGGCCGCCGTCATCAAAGCGGTCCTGATTGCTGAGCGCGCATGGGTACCACAGTTGATTGGGATCATTGTAGGGGGCATTTTATGCACCGAGAGCATGCACCGCGGCTCCAACTTGAATACCGAATCAGGGAGGTTGAAGGAGAGAAAGAGAAAGAGAAAGAGGGAGACAAGCGGAACAAGAGAGTGAGTGGCGCGGGGTGGTGGGGGTTACCGGTTTCAGAGGCTGTGCACCGTAACAGTAGAAGGCTATGCTCTCCCCTTCTTCTGCTTTTCTTCCCCGTCCTTCGTCCGCGTTTTAATAATCCTCGACCCCCTTAGAGCAACCCGAACAAGGATAGAACACAGTTGGCCCCTCTATTTGCCTCGTGCCCGGTGTTAAGGGGTACCGCCCCCTACTGTGTACATTAGTCTCGCTCGCTCCCGCTTACCATGGTGATCTCTCGCTCTTTTGCGTCGACTTATGCCTTCTGCTTTCTCCGAATAGTCGGAATTCTCTAAAGAAGCGTTTCGCGAACATCGTTTTCCGCCTCGGAGCGACGTTCCCTCTCCTCTAAGCGATATTTAAAGGGAAATCCGCGATTTTCGCGACGCACGCGCGTTTTTTCGAGTTTTAGCGGCTTTCATCGACTGGTAAAACGCTCTCCTCCCCTCTACCCGCTGCGCTATATGCTATTTCTTACAATTTTGCTCATTTCTTTGTGCACTCACATGCGCTTGCAGGCCTCTATTTCCTTACCTTTTCTCGTCTTTTGTTTTCTCTTTTCTATTGAACCATTATCTTCGAGCATGTAGTCACCCTCGAAGTCTGTTGTTTTCAGTGAGACGAGTAGAAGAATAGAGATTAAAGCAATTTTGGGCGCTCATCGACTATTCTTTTGTGCTGTATGCGTACTTTCTCCGAATGGATCTGCTGTAATAAATTTTCGGCTTAGGTCTTCTGTAATAAATTTTCTTAAAAATCGAGAGAATTTCTGCTTCGCAGGTTTCGCACTTTCGAGCAAAAACAAATTAATAATAACGATGCGTTGAATTGCAACGGTCACTTTTTGAAACGCGTTGATGTCATAATCATCAATGATAATAATAATGTTAATGATAAATTGATAATAATAAATTCCTGCTATACATATCATGATAATGACCGTGATAAATTCTGCTACCTAGACGAATCGTTTATTTTATAACATAATTTGCCCATGTAACGAGATGTAAAAATTAGCTCGATGCAAAGATATTTCTTTGTATGAATTAATATAGCTCGAGAAAATCCAACACAGCAGGAGATTGTAAAACCGTAGTAAAGTATATCGATTCTAGGCTAAATTTTTTTCAGAGCTTTCTTTATTCAAAGCATATTCAAAAAATATTTCATGGAATCCGAGATACGAAGGGAACCTTGAGTTCAGTCTTAAGCATTATCGCGACGGCGCGTTTCTCCAAATACTCTCGAGGACCAAGATTCTGCGCAGGCTTACACGATGCGTGTTGAATAATTCAGTTAACGTTTACAAAACTAAAGAAAATGCAAGCGGACCAAGTCTGAACCATCTGCGAATTTGGGATTCGAGATATTTTGACCTGAGATTTACGATACTGTAACAGTTTTTGGAATGTTGCCAAATGAATTCGATGTTTTGAAAAATTTAGAGAACAATGAGGTAGTCGAATGTCACGCAATAGCACAGACGTTACAGCCCAGGTCGGATTCTTTTTTCATTTCGCCGTTAAAATATCTTTCGGTTCCTCGCGTTACGTTCCATTTCTGAAAAGTTTCGGTAGACAGATAAATAGTCGTATGGTATGTTACCGTTCCGATGCAGACGTGTGCGTACATGCCGAAGGCAAATTTTCGTTGAATCGGCGGGGAGATGCGGCGTGCGAAATGACGAAGGCTCGACAACGATGAAGGAGGATTTCGACGAAGAAGAGCGGATGTCCCGCAGAGAGGACCAAAAGAACGTGGACGGTAGCGAGTTTGCGAGGGTGAGAAAAAGTAATAGGGGATGAGAAAGGGGGAGGGATATATTGCGACGAGACTTTGAGCGAAAGAAAGACCGGCGGATACAGCGTGGAAAAAGAGGGACGACCGCGTTGCGCGCGCGCGCACTTGCGGAAGAGAGCATCGGCGCGGCATGAGCGGTGGCGTGGCGCGATACGGCTTGGCTCGTCTCGGCTCGTCTCGGCTCTGCTCAGCTTGGCACGGTGTGGCGGAGCCAGACCAAGTGAAGAACAGAGTGAGAAGTGCTCGTGTCGAGAGACGAGTCACATGTTAGAGCGACAAGGACGAGATAGAGAGACGGCGGGGCAGAGTCGGGCTAGTGCGGGAGCCCGAGCGAGACCGAGTCGAGCCGAGGGAAGGCACAGAGAGCCGTTGGCGTAGTAACGCGTGAGGCTCGTATAGCGTCGAGCCTGCTCGTTGCTTGCCTGCCTGCCTGCCTGCCTGCCTGCCTGCCTTGCTAGTTGCCCTTCCTCCCTGCCCGACATCCCGCATCCGACCGTCCGTCCGACAGCCCGACTCCAACTCTATCCGTGTGAACCGCGCGTCTGTGTCCGTTGCGTCTCTCCGCGTGGTGCCTCTGTCGGTGGCAACTACACGCAAACGCTCCACCCTTGCACTTGTGTGCGCGTACATCCGTGTGCGCGCGTGTTGGTTGGGGGTCCCGGCCCGACTCGGCGCTCTCGGCCCGTCCCGTCCCGTTCCGTAGAGTATCGCACCGCGCCGCTCGCCACCCGCTATCCACAGCAGTTTCAGCCAGCCCGCCCGCCTGACTGCTTGCCAGTGTCCCACCGCACGCCGAACCGTTTGCACTCAGAAGCGATCGGGGAGCCCTTCTCTGCCTCCCTGCCGGCCACCCCGCTCGTACGCTCTCTCGTCGGCACCCCACTTCGGCCTCGTCACCCACGGCCGTATCGTCCCTCGTCTCCCTCACCGTCGTTCCGACCCCGTCCTTTTTTCTCTCGCTTCACACACACCCACACACGCGCACACATACACGCACGTGTCCTCTCTATCCCTCTTGAAATTTTCTCCCTCTTCGTCCCTGGCGCGCGGCGTTTCTTCGCGTCCCACTCTGTCCCGTCGAGACCTCTCCTCGCCCTCCTCTGGTAGTCGAGTTACACTCGGCGAAGGCACGAGCACCGGCTATCGCTCTCTCCGTCGGCTGGTTTTCTATCCCGTTTACCCTCTCGTATCTCCCTCATTCGCACTCCGTCTCTTTCCTTCGCCTAGCCCTCCTCCGCGCCGTTCTACGATCCCCCCTACGTTCCGCTCGCGACACGGCTATCCTTGTCTCGTCGCGACAGTCAACCGTCCTCCTTCTCCGTCTTCGGCTCCTCTCTCTCGTTCGTTCTCCCTCTTGCTCGCGAGTAACGCCGGTGTGTACTCCCGCTGTCACCTGATCGCGGGACGCTTTTCGCGGGTGAGATACCGCTCGGCCACCGAGTCAACCCAGTCTGCCGGCGTTCTTGCTCCGATTCTTCCTTCTCGCTCTCCTCTCTCTCTCACACACACACACACACACACACACACACACATACACACATATTTCATTGTCTTCATCCTTGTTCCGTTTCTCTCGCTTACTCTGTCTTCCACTTCTCTTCTCTTCCTCCTGCTGGTCGTAGTGGTCTTCCTATACTCGCCTCGTTGCCGCGCGACGTCAACATCATCGGGCTGGTGGTTACCCGGAGGAAGAAGAGAGGCGAGAAAAAAGGAAAGCGAGCACAGAAGCGGCCGCCACCGTCCGACGGCGTTCGTCCGCGCGACCGTGTTGCGGACGATCTCTCGCCTCTTCCTCCTTTCACGGATCTTCGCCGGCACGTCGGAGTCTCCCGGAGAGAGAGGGAGGTGACACTTTCGGGCAGACACGCGGCACGAATCTCGCGCACTCGGTGGACGCACGCGAGGACACGGAAGAGCCGCGCTTCGTTGCAGATCGGTGACGGTGCCAAGATTTCGTTCTTTTTTTTTTCCGATCTCCACTCGGATTCTTTGTTCCGAAAGCGTCTCGTGAGTCGAGTGAGCTTGAGCCGGTCTTGCCAGTGCATAAAACGAGCAATGCGTATTATCCCAGTGTGACAGTGTTGAAGACGACGATTTTCAAGTGAGTTTCAATCATAATTTATAATTTTTGCGCTGTTTGTACGATTCTCTGCTTCTGAAAATTGCTCTCTCTTTAAAAATCATACAGAAATTCATGTCGGGAGTTTTCTACATATGCAGAACGAAAAAATTATTGTGGAAATCGCGCGATGCTCGTTTCAACGTGATCGGTGAAAAATTTGTTTGAAAAAGTTACGACACTTTTAACGGTTTTTTCCGATTATCCGTTGAGTTGTCGCGACTTCGGTTTAATCTCCTTTTTATGTCATTTCATTCTGAATACACGATTTTTAGTTTATATCAATTGATATATTTTCATTTATACTATCCATCGCATCGACACATTTTTCAGGGATGAAACCGTTCGCGAAACTATTTCAAAGTCATAGCGACGTACTATGTAAATAAGTGCTATAAATTATTAATCGATTTCTTTCATACACGTATCTCGCGTTAGAAGCCTCATGCTTCAAAATATATCGATACCAGAATCACGCGTGCGAAATGCTTGCAAAATTTTGCACAGTTGAAAAAAGAACGTTAACGATATAGTAACGTACATTCGTTTTCTAATTTCTGCGACTCGATTATATCGCGGCTTGTGCGTCTAGGTTGTGCCAAGAGATAGATCCCTCTCGTGACGCGAAAGGGCGCGAAAGGGCGACGTTTCTCATTGTCAGTTAACGATCGATCGATGTACTACGCGAACAGCGCGGATCGAAAGGACGTGAAATCTATCTGAATGATTTTCCGAATGACGCGTGTCTAGAGATTTCGCTCGTTCTCTCTTTGTCTCTCGAAAAGGAGAGATCTCCCTCTTTTTTTTCGTCGGGAAAGGAAGGGAAGAGAATGGAAGGGAAAGGAACGGAGAGATAGCAGCGTCCATCCGTTCCGGTGCCCGTTGCGGGCCGGTCGCCACACCCGCCCGTTTGGGAATTTAACTTACCGCACCGCCACTCGGGACTCGCGCGAGAAGAGCATTCGACGGTTTCTCCGACGGGATCTAACGGGCCGCCGTTTGCGAAAAGCGCCGATTCAATCGGTCGATCCTTTTGTGAAGGACTTATCGCTGTCGGACGTAATTTTTCTTATCAATTGGCGATTAACTCGATGGAGGATATCATCGATGTGTACGTATGTCAAAGCGTTTACTCAAGTTCCGTTATCACATTTAAGATTGTCTCGTCGTCGAATGTCTAAGAAAAGTCTCATTATCGGTTTTCGAAGTGTTAAGAGATTACCGCCATTTCGATCTCACGCGATCGTTGCGTTTAGTTCTTTTTACTAGCAATTTAATTCGATGTGGACGGACAATGGAAAACGCGCACGAAGGTTGGATTGGAAATCCAAAGCACTCGTTTGCGGTGCTCTTATAAAACGTCATTATCAGCGATAGCTCGTTCTGTCTCTATGTGCAACTTTCCGAAGAATTTGTAAATGCGTAGCATTTCGCAGCATTGAGCGAATCGAGTGCGTTAAATTAAACGTCGTCTTTTGCTGTGTTCAAAACTTTTTGTTTAAATTTAACTCTCATTAATGAGATGACTGATTTTACATATATCATATTCAATTTTATTCGTAATCCTATTTTTTTTTTTTTTTTTTTTTTAATTATTTACTCCATAAAGTGTATTATTTATCTACCAAAACAAAATAATTAGATTCGAAATATTACGATATTAAAGAAGTTAATCGTTAAAAAATATACGTCATAGGGTCAATCTTATCTATGATCTTTTCTAAGCAGTGACTCTGACCAGATGTAAGGCAACTATTGAAACTATCTTACGTTAATCTGATGGATGATCGATAAAAGTAGTTAAGGTTGGATATAGCTTCTCGCGCAACTCTTGCGCCGAACAAGACCGGAATACGCTTACGCGCTTGCATCTCGCAATCTCGTTACGCTGATCCTTCGACACTTGAAAATAAAACGCATCGAGTTTTTGAAGAGAGATTTTCGTGAGTATCGTGGCTACATCTGTAGATGATATTTAGTCTACATCGTATTCTAAGGCGGAGTTTTGGCTCTTTCGTGCTAATCATATACGTTTGCTATAAACCTGTCGCGAACGTTCGAAATTTCACGCAAACTGGTCGCGCGTCAAAACATGTGTCTATATTGATCGTAAATTGCCACGGTTTATGGACTCTTTGAGCTTCGTCTGTCGACTTGTGAAGTCGTCGGAATTCGACGTGCGATCTTTTAACTATGATTGCGAAAATGTTCGCGGCCAGATTTTAGCTGGAAAATTGAAGCTATTTCGCGAATTCTGCAGTTGCATCGACGAATGTTCTTATTTAGAAATCTTAATTTAACAAAATAAAAGTACGATAAATTGCCTTAATTAGTAGTCACGAAATCATTGAGGTTTTTGCAAATATCAAAAGAAATATACTCTAGTTTTATTATTTAATAATAGAAATTTTATTTTAATTGTGTTAATTTTCAATTTTAGCAGTTTTATTTTTAACGAGAGAAGTAGAGCGATTGACGCTAATTATTAATACTCGCTTTGAATAAATCAAGAGAATAAACAAGCTTCTAAAAAACAGGGTATCTATAGATCGTCAAATTGTGAGAGCTAATGTTGAGAACTAATTGTATTCTACATTTTTTGAAAAAGGATAAAAAAAAGACTATGCAACCATAATGTTACAGTATAAATCTTTTCTCTCATTCAAAATTTGGCAATTTATTTCAGAAATATCGCATAGAGATATTGCTTTTATTCGCGATAATAAAAAAAAAAAAGACAAAGAAACATTCACGTTTCTCCAGATGATAAGAATAGCGATCGCGAATTTGTCGGTGGCCGCGAGACGCGAGACGCCACCGTTACGAAACCGATCAACGGGTAGACAAAGAGGGGAGCAGAGGGGAAGGAGGATGAACGGGAGGACCCGGTGGCGTCCTGCGCGGGAAACGGATAACCGAAACTGCCGCGTTATGCACGCGTACAACGGGTGGGCGTACGTGGTAATACAGTGGCCATGCGAGCTTGATTACACATTGCGATCACGAGTGTCCCACGAGCGGGCGGACATAAGGCCTTTTGTCGCACTATGGCCTGCGGGCAGGAAGCACGTAGCGTGACACCCGGCCGCTCGGTGTGCGAGCGGCACCCATATTATACGCTGAGTAATATGTACATGAAGGGAGAGAGATAGAGAGCGCGAGAGGGAGAATGGCATACGTAGAGTAAGGAAGGAAGATGGAGCGACGCGGTGAAGGGGGAAGGACAGGAGGTGAAACGAGCGAGGGAGGGGAGGAGAGGGGAAAAGAGACGGTGTCTGCGGGGACGACAGGGGACGCGCTATAATACTCGGTGGTGGTCCCATGCCACTACGTGACTTGTGTGCGGCTCTAAGCCGAGACATATCGCTGTCCCGGGGCCCCGTTTCTGCCCCGTTTCTGCCCCGTTTCTGCCACCTAAAGGAGCGCGCGGATATATCGCGCGCCGGGGCTATTATAGCGGCTACCGTGCCGGACGGACGCGGACGGTTCGATCGGCCTTATTGAATTTGCTCTCCCCCCTCACTCCCTTCACCCCTTCCGCTCTCCCGCAACCGTTCCGCTGCTCGGGTTTGTTTCCCGATTGTTCGTCGCGAGTTATCTAAGCGCAATCCGCGGCTGACCTAATCGGGTCACCTATTCGCGAATGCAGGCTTTCGACTTTTTTCACGTAGTCGGGTTTCTATCCGCAGCGAGCGTTTGCACACTGTACATGTTCAATGAAATCGGAACGCGACGAGATAACTTAATTTGGGATTTCCCTAATCCTTCGAATACATACATACACGTATGTAGACACTTATTAAGTTTCCTTCGAAACATTACGTTCCGAGAGAACAAGAGTTGAAAATTTCAAAGCCACGAATACTTAAGCTTAAATTTTATTCTCCTAAATATTTCATGCATCTCCATGAAATTCTAACTAGATGCGAAGACTTTTTGATAATATAATTTATCGATCTTATATTCCAAGTTATACTCAAATTTTGAATAGCTTTCTCAAATTGAGTAATATCTATTCGATCGTTTAACGTTATTTTTCCGGCGACACGTACTAAATATTATATGGCAATTGAGGAGTTGACTTTCATATTTTTCTGATTTTGCTTTTATTCTCACACTTTCTTTCGTAATCAAAAAGCGTCATCGAATATCCCGTTTGATATTATATCAGTCGACTTTATCCGCTTTGGTCTTTCCCCATTGATTTGTCTGCGAGTCTGCTTCGATGGTGGGGCGGATTAAATGAGAGACTGCAGTAATTAATAGATACTTAATTGGCCTATTAATTAAGGAATCGCGGCTCTCTTGAAATAAATCTATTTGCACTTTCGCACGATCGTATCTCCGTGCATGATAATATTGATTATCTGCCAATGATATTCCGATTTTTTCATCATATTTTGCATCGTGATTTCTCTTTCTCTCTCTTTCTTTCTCTCCCTGTCTTTCTCTCTGGTTCTCCGTTAGTTGAAGGAGACGGCGTACATCGTGATCCGGCCATTGTGCCAGCCCCTGTGCTAGACGGTTCGATCGGCCTCATTGAATTAGTTCCCGCTTGCGGGCTTGTTTCTCGATTGTCCAGTAAACCGCAGAGTATACCATTTTACACGGAAACTGGTCCGTCGGTCGGCTCGTTGATTGACATTCCCAAGAACGGTAATCGCGAAAATAAGAAATTCACCCCAGACTTTCGCGTGATTCTCTCGTCAAGACATATCGAACGATCCAAGCTAAGATATTTAGGGATATATCTCGATCTATTACAGACATTAAAACAACTATTCCGTTCACGAATAATTAGTATAAATTTTATTTATGTATTCTTTTTAATGATAATTTGTGAAATTGATTTTATTAATATCAATACAAATAGCATTTATTAATTATTTTATTTACCATATACACACACAGGAAACTATGATTCTCCATATTTTGTTTTCCTCGCTATCTCGAAGAACTTTATCGAAATAGTTATATTCTCATTTATTCCTGCGAGTCGTGCTCATTGAACGTGTCCTGCAATTGAACGTGTCGACAATTTGCCCGTTAACGCAGCCCAAGGCCGTTGATGGAATTGACTGTTTCCGCGACTCCGCGAGATTTCATTTTGATATCCGTCGCCGCGGAGCGACTTACCGGTATTCCGAGGATTATCCGGTTCCTGCCATCTAAGGATGCTTTAAGCATCGCTCTCGGACTGTTAGAGCGGATGTGAGGTCGACGGACGTTTCGATCGAGTTTATCGAATTAATTCCCGCTCCTAGGTTCGCTCCCGATTGCGGATTATACTCTATTCGGTCACGTTTATTCGCAGTACGTGACTCAAGAGATCTTCGATACATTTACAATGATTTTGAACACTTTGCTTTGCTATATAAATTTATATTCAATGTATGTGTGTGTGCGCGTATGAATTTGAACGAATCGTTGTAATTTTATATCGGGATCTCTAGATCCTCTAGATAAACCAGCGACGGATAGAACGTTTATCGAAGGGCGTGATATCGAGGGTGTCTCTAGGGGTGAGAATCGTACGAAGGGTAGCTTCATTTTTAGGTCGTTATATCTCATTATTTTTCGGCTCTACACGCCGCAGGAGGTTGATAACAATAACTGTTCGATCCTATACGGGATGTTTTATTTTTTTTTTTCAGATGACACGTGGCACGCTATATTCTAATTTGATATCGGGCTTTCGAATATTACACACGGAGCGCAAAAGGGAAGGTCGTTGCGATTAACCGGTTTCTCTGTTTAATATGCCGTGTAAGCAGCTAATTGTGTCAGCGTCTATCCTCTAATGCTGCTCTTGCGAAAAGTTTCCATTTCTTCATAAGCGGTTTCAGAGTTGAAACGTGAAGAAGCGCGAGATTTCTATTTCAAGAGCGAGTGATGTCTAAAAGTGAATAGTTCATCCGTTTTGCAATATTTACAATAACAGTAATTTAAGTGTATTTTCAAAAAAAAAAGTATAAAGTATAGATTTTTTTTAGGTGAGACATTTATTTTAAAAGCAACAGGTTTCGAATTCCGATGAATCTAGATAAATTAAATAAACTAGAAATACAAAGTAATCTCTCAATTTTAGCGAAATTTCTGAAATTTTGCTCATTACGTCATTTTTAAAATAAATGGCTCGCTAGATGCTGATGCCTCTACGAGACCCCGAATAAGCTCGAAGAGAGGCGAGACTGATCGGATCTGGCCGAGCGGAGAATATAGAGCGGAGAGTTTTTCGCGGCGAGAGTTTTTTTTTTTTGCGCGCGAGGCGCCGTGCCGCGCGTCTATTATCGGACAGAAAGTGGAAGGCGACGGGAGTCAATTTCCCGAGTGAATTTCTGCCGCGTATTATATCCGAGCAGCTATAATCTACTTCTCCCACTGACGATAGCCTCCACCCGCTCGGCTAGTAGTCCATTAGCGGCGCCCTCGCGCTTAAACGTTTCCGCCGCTTAATTGCGCATAGCTAATTTTCCTCGTCACATTTCGTCCCTCTTTTGTTTCCAGGCGCAGCATTGCCGTCGTCGCTGTCATCGTCATCCCCGAAGAAAAACGTCGGGGCGTTCCTCGGACGATACATACCAAGGTGTTAACGTCGCCGCAAACGACTCGTCGAGTCTCGAATAAACGAGTGATCGTGGATAAAACTCAGTAGTGTGACTTTGGTGCTCGCAGTGCTTAGTGTCGATGCGCCGGATGTTGCAGGATAACGGCGAAGAACAAAAGGCCGCTCGCGACACGTAAACACGCGAACGACCAACTCGCGAATATGGCCAGTACGACAATGATGGGTCTGCGTCGCAGAGCGCCGGTGAACAGCTCACCAACTCCCTCGGGTCAGTCACCATCCACGACGAGTACGTCGTCATCGAGCAAGCGCTTGAGGAACGAGAACAACAACAGCCCGTCCCACGGCAATCTGAACTCGATGAACGGTGGCTCTCGGGACGAGCCGCCGACGAAGAAGTCCCGCGGGACTTCGACGAGCGGAGCGAAGGGTAATAGTTGTTCCTCGTCGAACTCGGCGTCGTCGACAACCACGAGTACCTCGACCGACAGCCAGAATTCGAGGAGTCGCGGAACTTCCGTTTCGAGATCGGCCACTCAGACCAAGTCGTCGTCCACTTCGACGGCTGCCACCTCGGCTGCCTCCTCCTCGAGCGATATATCGAACGGCACCGCGCTCTCGAACAGCTGGACGACTACGTCAAGCATGTCGGACGTGCCGTCGTACGCTTCCGTGACCGGGCTCGGTTTGACGGGCGGACAAACGGCCGGCCTCTGCGCCGGAAGCCTCGGCATGCCTCCTACACCGATACCACCGTACATGTCGACCTCCATGGCGACCTTCGTTGGTAACGCCACGAACCTCGGTAAGAGCTCGTCCGTCTCGTACCTCGACATTTCCAACATGACCGGCAGTTCTTTGGCTGCTTCCGGCGTCGCGAACTCGTTAAACAGCGGATACGCGGCGAACGGTTCCGCCGCTGTAGACGCGAAGAGCGGAATGGCGTTGTCGTATTCGCCAAACGTCAACGGCGGCTCATTCGGCGCGCAAAAGAGCCCGAACGGAGCCGACGTGGCCACCGCTTCGCCGAGGAAATTTCAAAACGACGCTATGTTCAACACTTATCAACCATGGGTGATCAAAACGTACGGCGATCTGGCCAAGACTAAGACTATCACTATCAAGAAATACGCGCGTATCCTGAGGACGTTGCGGGGCGAGGAAGTGAACAGCGCGGAGAACAGCAAGTTCCGCTTCTGGGTCAAGAGCAAGGGTTTCCATATCGGTCAGCCGGAAGGCTACGACGCGAAACCGGCCGACAGGATTATCGGACGTCATGCTGTCACGAGCCCGGGATTGGATCCGCCGCTCTACGTGCCCACGCAGCTGCCGCACAACAAGGTGAGTACGTCCGAGCGGATTATCCTGTCTTCCGTAACGCGAGAAACGTTCCTTGGAAAATGTTTCTCGCAGGTAGAGCTCACGAGTGGTCGTTGAAAGAAGACGGAATTAAAATCGTTTGCGAAAAGGGCACCGAGAGATAATCTTTCGTCCTTCGAAGAATCGCCGCGATTTAGATTAATTAACGAAGCGCGATATATGAGTTTCGCCTTGGAATATATTTTGCATCAGAATTTACGCGTTTTTTACTTACGAGTTTTGGAATATATATAGCTTTATTTAACGTGAAATACACGCGAGGTTTCATAGATAAAATTAAACATAATTTTACATCAAGATTTGCATATTGATACGTATGTTCGTCCGGTATCTTTTACCGTACTTTTCAAGTGATACTCTTAAGACAAATGCTCAGAGCGAAGAAGTGGTTATAACAATTTTCTTACGCGCCGTACGCAGAGAACGGTAATAACGTCGCTACGAAGCTGTCCTATATATTCAGCCCATAAATTCTACTTTCTTATCCTCATTCCTGGGAAATTGACTTTCGGGCTTTTATCCACGCAGATTGGTCGTTCCACGTGCGGCGATCGTGTGCGGAAAAGAGCCCACCGCAGCCGGCCTACTGAAACCCGAGCTTTACGGGTTGGTGGAATTTATCTTCACGGCGAGTAGCAAAACTGCGAGAAATCTCGGGCGCGGTATGCCCAGAAAGTAAGAGAGAGAAAGAGAAAGAGAGAGAGCTCGTTGTGCGCAGATAAGGGGGCCGCTTAATTGCGTCTAATTATGTATATGCGCACGTGTAACGGCACGGCCGGTGGCCGACGCCGCCACCTCGTCCGACGCTCTCCGTCGGTGAGGAGGGTAGGGAGGAAAAGACCTACGTCGATGCAACGGCGCTTCGATCCACTTGCCGGAGCCTTGCCAAGCTCGGAGTGAAAGAGGAAAAAAAAAGAAAGAAAAGAGAGAGGCCGTTCGCGCCACGCCATTCGTCCGGTCGGTCTCTCTTTGGTACAGCTTCCGCGATTTTCTATCCGCGTCTTCTCGCAGGGAACTCGGCAAAACGAAACCTGCGATAGAATCTCTCGCTTTGCCTCCTCACGCCTGATACGCTACTTTAAGGCTATCCGATAACGCGTTAAATTACTTAAACAGCGCCACGTCATCGTGCACGCCCTATCGGGCCTGCGCTTGATATTCCGAGAATATCCTGTGATTTACTCGCGTTGGAACGTCTTGATTAAACTGGTCATGGTTATGGATAACCGGATAAACGTAGTGATAATCTAATCTGCAAAATTGGTTTACGTTTCGACACATCGAGATGGAAATTATCAATACATTGATAAGCGTATAAATATATAAAATCGATTTCTTTTTTAAATACTTTCTTAATATATAAACCAAAGTTATCTCGAGTATATATAACAGTTATAATTTTATTATATTTTATGGCGCATTTACTTATGTCATATTTTTGCGAACTATATAGTATTTTTACGAGCAAAAATCTTCTAGAATATTGTCGGGGAGAATAATTCGTCAAAATTGTCACGAACGTTCGTTCTCTCGGTACTATCGTTTCCTCTATCAGGGAGCCGATGCCCCGTTATCATCCGTATATCTGTAAGAGATGTTCACACGCGGTAAGACGCTCTCTCTCACATAGCGTACACTTTTTCCCCGTTGCTCAATTACATTTCACTCTATCGCGAGAGAGGCGGACGCTTTCACGGTTTTCTTTTGCCTAACGTAGCATACTGCGCGATCTAGTCTCGCAAAAATCAGACGTCGCCCCGCGAATTCTTCCAAATCGTCGGCGAGATTACAGTGTTATTTTATTCGATATTTCGACATCGATAAATCGCTGTGAATTTTATTTCATTGCGAAATCGCGTCGAAACGGAAACAAGTTCGAAGAACTTTAGTTTAGTTCGTCCAACTGATCGTCGCTCGTCGCTACGTTATAGTTTCCGGAATCAATTAGGATCATTATTAACTGGCGTGGCATACAGTCTTTATCTTCAATTTATGTTGAACGACGTCGCGACAGAATCGAAAGCATAAATATACAATCTTTCTTTCTCATTCGCGAATCTACAATAATTCATAGAAAGGGGAGTAACTATTCCGTGCTCGCGTTTTCTATCTCCCTTCTAAAATTGCAGTTCTATTAGTTACACCTCGTGGTTGCTGTTTGCGTGGTTCCGACGCGCGCGTCGCGGTGCCGTGGGATTCCGGGTGCCGAAGCGGCACTCTTTCTCACGGAAAAGGAAGAGCGCAGCGGGCGCGCTTAGAATTCCGCCGCTTCGTTCGCTCGCTTGCTCGGTCCATCGATCGGGATTCACAGTTCCGGGTGGTCGGAGCGGCGGAGGATTCATCCTCCTCTCGTCCAGCGACGACGGCGGCGGGATTTTGCGTGCCTTCCGAGATTCTTCCCGTCCTTCTTTTTTTTTCTCTCTCTCTCTCTTTCTTACACCCACTCCATTTCCGTTCACGGCGTCCCGCAAAATATCACCCGCTCGCGACACTCATTTTTCACGGTTGACCGTCGTCGAGAGCCGCGAGATAACAACGACGGAGAGGAAAGGTTCGCCACCACGATAACTCTCACGGGAAAGAGGAGCTTTCTTTCCTCTCCTCTTCTGCTCCACTCGGTCCCTTTCGCTCGCTTGCTCGCTCGCCTCGAGGGTGGCAGAAGAGTAGGTCTGGCCAGTCATTAGTCACTTTCCGAAGCAGAGGCACAGACAGGCCGCGGCTCTTCCTCCTGTTCTATGTTTGCCTCTCTCTCTCTCTCCCTCTTCTTCCTTCTTTCTCTCTTTCTCTCTCTACATCCTTCCCCGCTATTTTGTCTCGCTTCATGTGCCGCGTCTACTGGCCGCTCGCGCTCTCCTTTTCTCCGTCTCGCTACGGTTCCGTGCCTTCCTCGTGCCTCTCTTGCACAGTCTCTCTACACCGGCCACCCTTCGTTCTCTCCCCCGTCACCCCACCCTCGCGCCGACTCCGATTCCAAGACCCGAAGCGGTATAAGTCCTCCCCTCTCGTCGGGCTCCGTTGGCTGTGGCTTCGAGACGTTCTCGCTTGCTCCCCTCGTGAAGAGAAACGCCGCCGCCGTGTTTGCCTCCTCTCTCGGTGCTAAGCCTCTCGCGCGTCTATCTTGATTGAGAGGGAGCGCTGGTATGCTCTCTGTCTCTCTTCGTCTCGCTACGTCGTTTTCTCCGTCTTTCTTTCTCATGATTACGAAGCAGAGATAGAGAGAGAAAGCGAACTAACCGTGCTTAGTCGGTGAAGCCGACGAGGACGCAGCGAGAGAGAGGTTGTCATTGATCGTCCCGACTGCGGCTTGTGAGCCGCTAAAGGTCCCGTACAAGCACGGGCCCGCCGGCATATAGCCGCAGCTATATGTGTGCGTATACGTGTGTGAGCACACGTGCGTAAGTGCTCCGCTCGTCGTTCACGTGCGTGCGACGGCGGAAACTTTTTTATTTTCTTGCGCTGCTCGAATTGCAGCGTTATTAGGTTGGCTATAGCGATCCGACATGTAATCTTGATATTTGATAAAAATGTGAAAAACACGATAATCACACATTTATCTTTCGTAAAGATTCTGCAGCACAGTTTGCGTGAAAAAAAGAACGTTTATAAATACAATCGTTAATTTTAGAAAATGACAAATATTAATAAGTTTAAAAGAGAAAAAAGCTAAAAGATAGAAGAGAGAGAACTTTATATATTATATAAATTTAATCAAAATTATGATTATATATGCTGTATGCAATAACGCACTTGCATAAGAATCGTTGGCTGTCTTCTTGTCACGTATTTACTATTCAGACTTTTATTTTTCTCTGATAATTTCTGTGATACATAGATAGCGTATGAACATAATAACCAAACCATCGCGTTTGCTAAATACCTGCTAACAACGATATTTCTTGAGAAAATTGCGAGCGCTCGAGAAGCGCTGCTGGAAGTTTTTAATCAATGGGACAAGGGAAGTAGGACATCCGTAGAATAGGTGGCAAGATGTGAACGAGGAAAAAGACGGTCCGCGCGCGCGGAGGTTAACCAAGGCGATAATTCGTCGCTCCGCTTTCGAGGGTTTGGCTCGGTTAACCGAAACCGTGGTTCCGAGGGTGTGTGCCGCGACCCTTAGCCAATAAAACAGTTGACCTCCTTCACCGGAGGCGACTCGCAAGGCGGAACGGTAAAGCGACGCGATCCCGAGGTCCTCTGCATTTTTGGCGAACGCTACGAATTCTTCGCTAATGGTTCCTTTTCTTTCTTCGTCTTTGTTTCGCATCTCTTCTCCTTTGTTCGAACAACTACGAATAGGCCGCATTGATAAGAATGCGTAAATAAATTCCGATCGACCGACCGATGCTGCGATGTTTTTTAAAAGAAGAATAATTATCGGGAAACATGCGGGCAAAGAAATTTATATTTCATCTCTACAGTAATATTTATTTCGCCGTTTTATTACATTCAATTTCCTCACTTTTCGTCGATTTTGATCAGAGTATCTTATAAACAGAATCAATTAGAAATTTTGTATCTCTGAAAAGTTTAGGCATTGTAATTTCTAAATTCTAGCTTTTCGAGGGTACACACATACACATACAGATTTTAGATGATATGTCAAATGAATCATGTTATTCGATTCCGCGAATATCGACATCGATACGAGATAAAAAAAGGTTTAGGTATTGTAATTTCTAAATTCTAGCTTTTCGAGGGTACACACATACACATACAGATTTTAGATGATATGTCAAATGAATCATGTTATTCGATTCCGCGAATATCGACATCGATACGAGATAAAAAAAGGTTTAGGTATTGTAATTTCTAAATTCTAGCTTTTTGGGGTTACACACACACACACACACATACAGATTTTAGGTGAATATGTCAAATGAATCACATTATTCGATTCCGCGAATATCGATGCCGATACGAGATAAAAAAGTAACATCCGTTAACAGTCGCTCTTCGTAATG